CTGGAATGTACAACTTGTTCAGGGCTAGTCAAGTTTTGTTCCCTGGAGAAAACATCCTCGAGGAGGCTAAGGATTTTTCAACCAAATTTCTGAGAGAAAAACAAGCTTCCAATGAGCTGCTAGACAAATGGATCATCACCAAGGACTTGCCTGGCGAGGTATGAAATTAAGATTTAATAACATAATTTATTTGAATTTTGAATCTTTTTATTTATTTTAACAGAATTATATATCCTGTTTACGGCATGATATATACATATCAGAGAAAAATCAATGGGATCGATGCCATTCGATGAGGGGCACGAATTAAAGAATATTATAAAGCATTTTACAACTGTGATTTTTTTCTTAATTAGCTTTATATCCACAACACATAAATGAGAATGAGAATATTATTTTTCGTTTGGATACATACAAAAAAGAATAAGTTTCTAAAAAGAAAGGGCCAATAAACAGGTGGGGTACGCACTGGAAGTTCCATGGTATGCGAGCTTACCTCGACTGGAGACCAGATTCTTCATCGAACAGTATGGTGGCCGAGATGACGTCTGGATTGGCAAGACTCTATACAGGTATATTATAGTTTTCACATTTTCTTTTTGACGAAGATATACTCTAAATTACTCTAGTATACGAGGAGAGGGATCGAATTCGGGTGCACGGAGTCACGGGTTTTTAAATTCTGACATTCTGTCCTATATTAATGTTGAACTTTGTTTCTAACGATTGTTTGCTTTAGGATGCCCTACGTAAACAATAATGTCTACCTCGAGCTGGCAAAACTTGACTACAACAATTGCCAAGCACTGCATCTGATCGAATGGGACAACATTCAAAAGTAAACAAAACAAAATCCATAAATGATTTCCCCACTCCTATTTTATCCACTTACACTCTTTTTTTAGTTATAAAAAAGGAGTGTAAGTGGATAAAATAGAAGAAAAAGGAGTGGGGAAATCACCTATCTTTATTATTCACTTTTATAATTATATAAAATTTAAAAAATCTTTTTTTGGAACTATACTTATGTATTATACGTACGTACGCAGGTGGTACGCAGAATGTAGACTTGAAGACTACGGATTGAGCAGAAGAAGCCTCCTCATGGCTTATTTTGTTGCTGCAGCAAGTATTTTTGAACCAGAAAGAGCAAACGAGAGAGTTGCATGGGCTAAAACGACATGCCTGATTGAAACAGTCGGGTGTCATTTCAAGGAAGAAACTTATGAGCAGAGGGGGGCCTTTGTACATGAATTCAGAACTAGGTACGTACGTTAAAACTGCAACAAAGAATAACTATTGTTGTTTGTTTGTTTGATCTTTTCTCTCTCTCTCTCGGTGTCTGTCTTATTCACCGGCCTCTGCTAATAATGCAACTAGGTACATCAGTAGGGTACCCTACAATACTTTATTCTAGGTAAACAAAGACAATTTAATTTCGAAATGTCAGTTCATGTGTCATGAGCGCACCAAATAATCAGCCACCACAGTGGAAGTTCCAAGATTTCAGAGGTCTAATAATAGTAGGAATAAGCACAACATCCATGTTACCAATTAAGGCAGAGTGTGGTGGTTCTAAGGAAAAACTATCATGTGGTACTGAAATACCATGTCACGTGTTATGATATAAATAGACATATTTATAGTTGTGGGTATAATATTCATTAATATGCAGTTGGAGTGTTATATATATATATATAAAACATGACTGGATTAGTTAGATACATCACGTGGCGGTGTTACAGTTCTACCGACATTCGAAAGAGGCAATTACATGTGCTTTGTGTTGCAGGAAGATGAATACAAACAAGAAAAGGCAAGGACTTATTGAGACCTTGATGGCAACTCTACACCACTTCTCATTGGACGCAATGGTGGCTCATGGTCATGACATTAGCCACCCTCTACGCCAAGCTGTGAGTTTCTTTTCTACCACACAAGTCCCATTTTTATTTTCTGTTTTTTATGTTTCCATTGGCTGCCGAGTTAATAGTACTAATTAATCCCAATACTTATAACTTGGTGTTTTCTGTTTTTCTTCTTAATTAAATATAAAGTGGGAAAAGTGGCTTACGAAGTGGCAAGAGAAAGGGGACATGCACCAAGATGAAGCTGAGCTACTGGTGGAAACGATAAATCAGACCGCTGGCTTTTCAATCCCAGAAGGGTTGTTGTTGTCCAATCCAGAGCATGAGCAACTTTTTAGCATCACTAACAGTGTTTGCAATAAACTACACTCCTACCAAAACCAAAAGCACAAGGTTAGATAAATTCAAACGACATGTCACATATTCCACTAATTTAACTATACTCATTGGGGCAGTGATTGATAGATCCTTTTATTTTTTATTTTTTCAGGTAAATGAAAATGGGAGTTGTACCATGAAAATCCAAGAAATAGAATCAGAAATGCAACAACTTGTGAAAATGATGCTCGAAAACCCTTCGGACGACATACACTCTTCGATCAAGCAAACCTTTTTCGTGGTCGCGAGGAGCTTTTACTATTCTGCCTACTATGATCCTGGAACCATTAACAGCCACCTTACCAAAGTGTTCTTCGAGCGAGTAATCTGATATTTGCGTATAGGATTAGCCACAGTGCCTCATTTTAGTGATGGCAGATGTACTCAGTTCAACCCAAAAGAAAGAAAGAAAAAAAAATAATTAGACATTGCAAATGGTCATTGTTTTTGTTTAGTGTTAAATATAAATATCCTCCAAAAAAGGAGAGTGTTTTTGGGAAACAGAGACTTGCTTTCTGGGTTTAATTATTGTGGAGCAAAATCCTGCATTATGCAGAGCCTGATCAGTAATAAGTACAAATTATACAGCAGATATAAGTAAACAAGGACAAAGGCACAAAACACAAAAGGTGATGATTGACATGTCAAATGAGTGAACCATGGCTGTTCGCTTATCATGCCCCTGTAGCAAACGAGATGAAAATAATATTTCCACAGCATTTGAAAAATGAAAAATATCACAAGGAAGATTATTTCTGCACTTCCTACACCTGCATTTTGGTCTAGCAGAAGTTTTATTTCAACTAAATAAAACCTCTGGCGAAAAATAATCATAATCAGTGAGTATATACTGTTCACTGTTCAAGCACGAGCATAATTCCAATCTAAACATGGAAAAGAAGTGGAGAAATTAGAAGAGATGTTCTATCAGAAGAAAAACAAACCCTAAAGCAAGGGTTACTATTACTGTGAAAAGGTCCAATCTCAATGAGGACCAGTCGACATGGGGTTGTTTGCACTAATATAGGTAGTGGGTACATTTACATAGAGTTGCTTTGTAAGGAAATGTGATGTCTTTCAAATATGCTGGTCTGAGGTTTCCTTCTTTTTGTGTTAGCAGATTTAACAATGGCAGACAATTTTTGGGATACAAAGCCATGAAAAAGTTCCTGGATTGGTCTTCCATCCGAAGTGAAAATTCACCCAATCCCACATCTTCAGATCTGTTATCAGAAGAAAAAAGAAAGTGACCCTATTTGGTTTTCTTTCTTTTTCCTTTTCTGTTTTGCCTGCCTAATACAAGAGCAAAACCCTAACCCTAAGCTTAACTAGGAGGCAATTAGAAGAGAGAGGTGATTTAGTCTTGGTTACAACAGAAACCTGTCACTCATGCACCTCTAAATGGCAGGCATATTTTATTCCCACATCAAAAAGAGAGGTCCCATGAAATGCAAATGCAGGGTGGGTCAACCAAAGCATTTACATTGTTGGCATAATGATGTCCCTCCTGCACGGTTAGTTGAATCATGAAAATGGTGTAAAAAAAAAGCAGTTTTTGTTGTTGGGTTTTGGGTGTTGATGCAAAAAAGCATTTGACGGTACTTTGGATTGGGATGTGGAGGTGGAAGTGTGATCTGATCTGATGCCCCATGACAGAGAGTGTGGCATATCAAAGCCAAAAGGAATATGACTCTGTGTTTTTGGACAGTAACCCATTTTGGCAAAAGTGCTTCCACCCCGAAATCTCCATCACTGCTTTCTCTCACTTTGATGTTTGGTTCAATTTTGGCATCGCGAGAGGGCACGTGAGGCAATCCATCATTGCTTCTTTGTTGTGCATGTGGCGAACAAAGAAGCAATCCAGCTTTCCCCACCCACCTCCCTCATATTGGCGGGGCCGCCCGCACCCAAACAAAAATTTCAACTTATACGAAAGTTTTTTGTTTTGAGCACTCGGGCTAAAATTGAAAATGCAAGATCTCGGATGCAAGGGCGAACGCTCTTGAGTACTCAAGCTACAAGGCTTGGATTTTGTGGATTAATTCAATTTGTGTCTCATCTAAGACATTTACAAGATATGGTTTACAAAGCGCATGTATGTTATATCATGAAGAAATTCATTTACTTTTTTGTTTTTCAAAGAATGTGAGTGAAATAAAGAGGGTTCTTAGGCGTTTTGCTAGGAATATTGACCCACTTAATTTAGGAAGGGGGTCGCAAATTTGTATTTGACCGGGCAAGACAAGAGATTCTCATTTGGGCCAACTTCGATTTTGAGCCTTCTAATCTATACGACTTTGTGCCCAATAGTACAACTCTCGCTGCAGCCCACCCCTTAATCTCTCGATGGAGTTCGAGGAGTCATTCTATAATGCGAGCCTTATCTAAGGCCTTTAGTTGAGGTCATACCTCTTAATTTGATCAAATGGTTAAGAGATATGACGTCATTTAAGAGAGGCCCTCACTATAAAATTCTTTGGACTTCGAGTGCAATTTTTGATGAATTTGGAGAACTTTTTATTCTTTCCTTTTTTGAAGTTAAATTTGGAGATTGCTTGCGCAACCAGCAACTAAGAATGCCACACGTTTTTAAATAGCTTGAAATGAGAGATTTTGAAAACCTCATCACTGTTATTTTCACATGCTTCAATTACAAGCTTACGCAGAGGGATTTGTTGGCTTTTTCTGAAAGGTGATTTCAAAACCTTTTGAACCGGCATAAAGCAACACATCTCGCAGGAGACATAACAAGGATAACAGAGTGAGATGATGCGAACTTCTTAATAAACCCACTGTGTTTTAGTGTCATATTCATGAGCAGCGCACTTAGACAGAGTTTCACACGAGAATTTAAAAGCAGTTTATAGGACCTAGCTTCCTGAACTTCAAAAACCCATAAGCACAAGGTAATACATCATCTTCGCACTTAGTAGGAAGAAATTCCATAGAAATCAGATTTAGTCATACTCTAATTCATCAGGAGTAACCGGCCGTTTGAGGGGTATGATTGACTTCTTTTCAACGTCCCGAGATAATGCTTTCCTCATATCTGAAGCAAGAACAAACACAATAGAAAAGTGAGACGGAAAACAGTTTTACATAATGTTAGTTTGGATGGGGAAACTCACCTAACCCATCTTCCTCCCCTGAATAATACCGTAGGACTCGTCTATAGATCACGTAACCAAGCTGTGGGGAAAAAAATGGAAAAGAAAATGAAATAGATAGTGAGCATGACTCATCCCATTCGAAATTGCAGAAATATCCAAGTTGGGATCTATGTCTGGCTCGCACAAACCAGGAATCACATAGAAGCAACAAATCATATAATCAAGCTCTTCCCAACAGGATGCATTTGATTCATAAAATTGAAACAATTTTCAGTTTAAAACTGAACTTCTATTTGGAGTTCTCAAAAAGAGCCAAATGATCCTTTTCATTCTGTACAAGAAAGCAAGCCTTTTTCATGTAAAAGAAAGAAATGGATAGTATGCTACAAATAAATGGAACCTAATTTCTGGTCATTTCAATATTGGCTGATAATACAATGCAAAGAATATCTACAGTTACAAGAAACATTACCTTTTCATACATCTTTATGGCTGGGGTGTTTGATGCTCTCACAAAAAGATCAACAAAGTAACCCTTATCACTGCCAAACCAAAGTTTTCATTAACAAAGGTGAGGCATATACAACAAACACATAGAAATTATATGACCCAGTAAGACTTCATATTGCTCTCAACCTAAAAACTGATTTACAAGACAAATGCAGCCCACAAAAAGACTCCACAGATTGGAGGGAAATGAATCCTCATTATGGTAAGAAAGAATACTATGACAAGAAGAAAATTCCAGTTGCATTGGGCCTAGGTGCAGGTGGAAAATGTGTAGAGAGTGGTCCGATAGGTCTTAGGATCATTTCACCAATCAACATATGTCTAAGTGTGTTAAGAAATTCAGACCCAAAAAAAAGTGTGTCAAGAAAAACAATTATCAGATTTTCCATTATTGTAACATAATGATCTGCAAAAAGATGGCCAAGTTTCTATTTCCAGCAAACAAAACTATTGAAATGTGCATTGACAGTTAAATCTTAATCAATATATGCCCCTCTTACATCTTATCACTAAAGTCTTCCAGCAAGTTCATGAGTTTCTTGGCCAATTGCTGCCTGCGATATTCTGGCGCAACAGTTACTGCAGTTACATGACCATGCCATGACTCACCTTGCCCTTCAACCTTTCCCATAACTGCCATCATATCAGAATCAGATACCCATTTATGGCATCTATAATCATTAAAAGAAAGCTGGGAAGAAAAATAAAAACAGATGGCAAGCATATTAGCATCAAGAGGACAGTCAAGACGCCTCTCATACGCCTCACTAACACCTCATCCTTTAACCATTTTCAGGAACAAACTGGTCAAGCAAACAAATCCTAGATATCCAAGAAAACCTCTGCATGTATTTTATTCTTAGCACCCCCTACACTAAACAATAAGAGCCCATTTTTTAATCTGAAATCTCTCCTCCCACAATCTCCTTGCAACATATTGTCTTTAACTGTCCAATTCTACTAATTCCATTGTTCCAAGCAAACAACTTTATACCAATGGTGACACAATAAACTTAGTAATTTTACAAAAGAGAAACCAAATGGCAGCAGCATACCAAATAAAATGCTAAGGGCCCGTTTGATAACTATTTCAATTTTGGTTTTTAGTTTTCATTTTTTGTGCTAGCATACAGAGGACAATGAGAGTGAGAGTGGAAGTGAAGATGAGATTGAAAAAGAGGATGAGAGGGAGAAGTAACAAAAGTGAAAACAATTTCAAATAAACTTCAGTTTTTAGTTTTTGTTTTCACTTTTGTTACTCCTCCCTCCCATTCTCTCCTCTCATATTCTCTCTCAATCCCATCTCCACTCTCATTCTCACTTCCATTCTCCCTCTTTTTCCTCTATAATCTAGCACAAAAAATGAAAACTAAAAACTAAAATTGAAATGGTTATCAAACGGGCCCTAAGTTAAGCATAATGTTCTTTTCACCCCAAGCTAGCATAGAAGGAAAAGCTTATTCCCAACATCTTCTTCATCCTCCATTTTATATTCACAATTGAAAAGTTTCAACCCGAAAGAAATGAGCTTTCAAGATACATTTTGTAATATAACAACTAATAGAATAGAAGAGACTGGGGATGCTTACTGTAACCCATGATTCGGTGTCCCGGGGCTTCGGCAACATGAAAATAGTCGGGCCATCTTGCTAAATAGGTCATATAAAATGACATATTGAACTGCAAATAACAGATTATTAGAATTATCTACAAAAATAATCAGCAAATTTGAGGAAGAAAAGGAAAGCAAATTGGACAAGGAAAAAAAAAAGCAAATTTGAGAGGGAGAAGGCAACAACTTACAGTTTCAGTGAGGTGGTCAAGATTGACAGAGGTAAAACGAAGAAGATCATTGCAGCAAAATCTGCGAATCGTAGTCATCTCTCTTCTCCTCTCTTTCTCTCTCGCTCTTTCTCGCGAAACCTCAAAGCCTCGAAAACATTCGACCCATCCTTTTCTTCGTCAAAATTCGGGTCGGTTTCACCGCCTTAAGATCCCGTACCCGAATAATTAGCTTCCTTATAGACCCGGACCCGAAAACCCGACGTGACTATTTCGGATTGAGCTCCATTAACCCACACCACAAAGTATTTTATCATTTCTCGATCTAATTAATTCAAGAGTATCGATTTATCTTCTTCTTCCCCAAAATTGAGAGCGATTGAAACCCTAGATGGACCTGCTAAAGCAAGAGATCCTTAAGAAACGGCAGAGACTTGCCGAAGAGACCGGCGGCAAGCGAGTCTTCAAGCGCTCCGAGATCGAACAAAAGCAAATCCAGAAGCTTCGGGAACAAGAGAAGCGCGAATTAGAAGCCAAAGCCCAGCGCCAAGCCACCGCCTCCAACACCACCACCACAGACGGCTCTTCCGCCGCCAATTCAAACCCTAATGCCTCCACGACCACTGCCTCCGCCACAACCTCCTCCAACGCCACCACGTCCAAATCCCTAACGGACGAGCAAAACATCGACAAGCTCAACCTCCCCAAACAGGAGGTCGTTCGCCGACTCCGGCTCCTCAAGCAGCCGATCACTCTCTTCGGCGAAGACGATGACGCCCGGCTCGACCGGTTCAAGTACGTGTTGAAGGCCGGCCTGTTCGAAGTCGATAGTGACATGACGGAGGGGCAGACAAACGACTTTCTCCGCGATATCGCGGAGCTGAGGAAACGGCAGAAGTCGGGGATTGTGAGCGAGAGGAAGAGGCAGAAGACGGAGGTTGACGGCGGCGTGGAGGACGGCGACGGTGGCGTCCGCGAAGAGGATTTGAGTGCCGATGGATGCTCGAGCGGGGTCGATGCTGATAAGGATTTGAAGCGAATGAAGACGAATTTCGAGGAGTTGTGTGATGAAGATAAGATCTTGGTGTTCTTCAAGAAGTTGTTGAATGAATGGAACCAGGAGCTGCGGGAGATGCCAGATGCTGAGAGGAGGACTGCTAAGGGGAAGTCCATGGTTGCCACTTTTAAGCAATGCGCGCGCTATCTGCATCCTTTGTTCAAGTTTTGTAGGAAGAAGGTTGGTAAATTATTGCTTTTGATGCGTTAATTGTGTTTTGGGTTATGTTGTTTAAGTTCAATTCAATCACATTATCTGCAAATTCTAATTCATGACCATTATATTAAGCTGGGAAAAGCAATTCCGAACAATGCTGTTTGGTGTAAATTTCGCACATGAATGATCTTAGAATTTAAAACCCTGGTGCAAATTTTCTTTGGGTTATGTTGTTTTAGTTCAAGCACATTGAGCAATTCTAATTCATGAGTGGAATGGAATGTCTGCGTTAAAATCATCATAGGCATGATAAGAAGCTGGGAAAAGAAATTGAAAACAATGCATTTTGATGTAAATTTCTCACATGAATTGTCTTAGAACTTAAAATCCCGTTCTTTACTATTGTGTACTACTCTTTGGATTGTGTTTTTTGGGTTTCATTTAATTGCTGGTTATGGATCATTGAATTGTTGTATTCTATTTGCAGATCCTTCAAGATGATATTCGCCAAGCGTTGATGGTGGTGGTGCGGTGCTGCATGAAGCGAGACTACCTAGCTGCAATGGACCAGTACATTAAACTAGCTATTGGGAATGCACCATGGCCAATTGGTGTCACTATGGTTGGTATCCATGAACGTTCAGCTCGCGAGAAGATCTACACCAACAGTGTGGCTCACATTATGAATGACGAGACAACTCGCAAATACTTGCAGTCAGTCAAGAGATTGATGACCTTTTGCCAACGACGCTACCCAGCCATGCCTTCAAAAGCTGTTGAGTTCAACAGCTTGGCTAATGGTAGTGACTTGCAGTCCCTACTAGCGTCGGAGAGGGCCTCTAGCGGAGGAAATCAGGCCTCGGAGGAAAAGCTTCTGATAATGCCTGCTCCATAGGAGAGCTAGTCATGTATACGATGATATTTTGTTGAATGATCTCATGTTCGAATTTAGAAAGCTTGCTTGTGTCATTTTATTTGTGTTATCCTTCTTTGTTTTCTTGGAAGAAAGAAGCTAACGTGAGGAGCCCAAGCAATAAGATTTATTAGATTGACATTATTTGGGATGATATGAGAGATACAAAAAGAGAGAAATTTGGCACAACAGATATTCAATCAAAATCATTAAATTGATCTTCACTGATGGGATTTAACAACCTTCTGGCCGGTAAAACTAAGGTAGATTACAAACTTGCTAATTTGATGTTCAATCAAGGATTACTGGCTCTTCCCTAAACCAAAGGTGTCTTCAACACCATTGGTCACCCTGCTCCTCCGCTCAGCGATCATATCTGCATATGCCTGGAAAACGAAAGAAAACCCCAGAAAGTTCAATTAAAAAGAAAAGCAAAGCAACAAAAGAAGAAAAAACAATAAAACAGAGAATAGGAAGATGATGCCTACACCTTTGGGTAAGAATACAGAAAGATGTACCACCATGTGCTAATTAGTAAGCCTGCCAAGACTGTAATTACTACTGAGTTCAGAATAAGCCAGCTACCACCAATCACCAGCACTCCAGTCAGTGTAATTGTCCATGGCTGACACCTACAATCACCACCAATCACCAGAACCCATATGATAAATGAATGAAACATTTATGCAGAAGAATCAAAATGTTGCGAGCAGTTGGATTCAAAATTGCTCATCAGATGGAAACAGAAAACAAGAAACTCCTTTTTCTTATATACACACTGAAACTCAATTCCAACGGAGTCCACCATACTATGAAGGAAAACTCCAATTTAAATTTACAGTTCTAACAAACGAAGAGGCCTTCAGAAACAAAAAGGATGGTATGTTGGAAAACAGGAAAACTACACCAAACTTTTACACAAGAATACCACAAACGCCAAAAAACCCACGAATGAGGACGAACAGAAAAGGGGTAAAGAGTATTAATTCTGAAATAACAGTGAAAAATAATGGAGGCCCAAGAAGGGAAGGCTCACCAGGATGGCTTTGTGTCCCAAACAGAATCATATTCAAGCGAAAGGTAGTTCATGTAGCCATCCATATCATCAACAACTCCGTTTTCATCCAAGAACTCAGACTCTTTTGGGTCAATCGAATTGCTGCCAAAGGCAACATTTTTGCTGCGAAGTCTTCTTGGCGTCGGATAAGTTAAAGAGACGAGTGGCCAGGAAACGGGGTTGCAGAGATGGGTTTGTGAAGAGGCCAGACGGGGGCGCAGTGGAGAGCAGAGGGAGAGAGGGAGGAGAGATAAAGTTCCCATTTTGTCATATTGTCATGACACGCGAAATATCTGTTTGCTATATAATAGTCCTTTGCTTAGTTTAGTTAGAGCTTTTGTTCGCTAACTTGGGCTGCGTCATATAACACAAGACCATCAACTTCGTATGGCACAACTTCGAATACGATACATTCATTCCTTCTATTAGTCAATTTGAGCAGATTAAAATGAATCATCTTTGATTACCGACAAAGGTTAACAAGTGCAAAAAGAAGGTTGGAAGTTATGAAAACTAATGTTTACAGCTCTACCCAAATTAGATACTAATGTTTACAATAGAGGAAAATGATTGTTTATCTGAAAACTTCCATGTTATTAAGTATCTTGAAACCAAATCCTGACAGTTCTATCATTTCCAAGAGCTGCAGACGCAATCTTATTTTCTGATGGATGACAGGAAACGGAGATGGCAGTATCAGAATGGCCTTCAAGTTTCTGCACCATAGTTTTCTGCTGAAGATCCCATAAGTAGACACAGTGATCCTCCGAGCCACTAACAATGTATTTACCATTTGTCACAGAAAATGTGGATGTTACGCAATACACGTTGTTCACATGACCTGTATAGATCTTCAAAAACTTCCCAGTTGAGTAGTTCCACAGCTTCTGCACCCAGGAAAAAATAAATTTGAAACCCACATATCAATTAACCACATCTGCTACAAATTACGGAAACACTTAATCCATTCCGTATCCCTGATATTTAACAGGATGCACACGTTATAAACATGCTCTGAGTCTGTGCTTCTAGAAGAACCATTCATCAAAAAGCAAATTGCTCAACCCACCCACCCCATTAATCACAAATTGCATTGCTAATCAGCTGAAGCTAAGGAAAAATTGCAACCCAATTGAATAAGCATGCTTATGATCACAAATTGCATTGCTAATCAGCTGAAACTCAAAGAAAAATTGCTACCCAATTGAATAAGCATGTTTATGGTCACAAATTGCAGTCAGCTGAAACTCAAAGAATTGAATATGCATGCTTATGATCACAAATTGCATTGCTAATCAGCTGAAACTCAGAGACAAATTGCAACCCAATTGAATAAGCATGCTTATGATCACCAATTGGATTGCTAATCAAGTGAAACTCAAAGACAAATTGCAACCCAATTGAAAAAGCGTGCTCATAATCAATAAAAATCATAACTTTCAAGTAACCAGGAAAGGAAAATCACAACTTTCAGTTTGAGAATCAGAAAAACGAAGGAAAACAACAAATGGTCTTTTCTTACGAGGGTGTCATTGAGAGTGGCGACGAGTATGAACTTGCCATTAGGCGAAAACTTAGCGAAGGAGACTGCAGCGGTCTTATCCTCAAGGAGCGTCTTCAAGCAAGTCCCTGACGCTGTGTCCCAAATCTTGCAAGAACCGTCGTGACTGCCGGAGACGATGAGCGACCCATCTCGATTGAAGTGCACGGAAGTCACAGGCAGCGAGTGAGCCCTGATGACGTGGAGGCACTTCCCCGTCTTGACCTCCCAAATACGAATCGTTTCGTCGAATGAGCCGGAGACGATGAGGTTGGACTGTGGATTGAAATTGACGCAGAAAACGAAGTTGGAGTGGCCTTTGAGGGTCTTGACGCACTCGCCGGCGGAGGAGCGTGCGTCCCAGATGCGGAGGGTGCGGTCGTCGGAGGCGGAGCAGATGTAGTGGGAGTCGGAGGACCAAGCAAGGTCGGAGATGCCTTCGGAGTGGCCGACGAGGCGGCGGAGAAGAGTTAGGGCGGAGGATGACCAGAGGATGACGGTCTTGTCGAGCGACGCCGAGGCCAGTAGGTTGCCGTCGTTTGAGAACTTGACGCACGACACGGCGTTTTCATGGCCGCGAAGGGTCTTGAGGTGGCGGTAGGGTCTATACGGCGGCGATGCTTGACCACTGCCACTGCTGGCCATCGTCCACAAATGATTTCTTTGCCTAATTTCTCGCTCTACAAAATATGTGCTGCGTTGCGTGACTGACGAAGGAATTTTGTTTTAATGTTTAATTTGCATTATATAATGGTACAAGGCTTCTGATGGCGGTTAAGTTGAGATTTTCTATAAAATGCCATTTATGTTTCTATACACACAGCATTCTCATTGTCAATTTGTCATATTGAATTGTGTCTGGTGATTCAAATCATCCACAACTAAAGGAATTTGAAAGAAACAAAAAAGACATGTCATTAGTTTTTGATGATGATAAAATGATTTTTTTTTCTTTTTTGCATAGGGTTAATAATAAAAGTAATTGTGGGGATGACTGGATAAAGATAATTAAATTTTCATGTCATCCAATAGATTTTGCACGCATATAAGCTCTGCAGCTACAAGATCTTTTTAAATTTTAAATACAAAACGAAGTAAAGAGAGCTGAGAGCTGCTCCACCCACAATCCCATATGATAAACAGGGTGATATCGAGGACTAAAAAGATAAAAGAAATGAGATAACAGGGCTTCAAGGGCTATTCTACTCATACTGGCAAGTACCGGGAGCCCACCACCGAACTTCACATATGAAACTGTGATGATACTGTGATCGCGGCGGCACACCAACTCCGTCCACAAGTCTTATTTACCGTTCAAATTTGTGCTGGCATCTCATATAGGCAACACTACAAATTTGTTAAGAGTATGCAGGATATATCAGTGGTGAACCTCTTCCAAATTATAATGCACCACACATCATGTAAAGTCTAACAAAAATAGATGAGGGAGGGAGGGAGGGAGAGAGGTACATGATCCATTTGGTGGCCACATATTTCAATCCTTGCCATATTTGGTATTTTCTCCTACACAGCCACATAGTCTACCTCGTCTGAGCTTTCATCATAGATAACATAACCAGCATCTCGAGCATCCTCGTTGCCACTACCATGATCACTATTGTAACTGCTCTCGGAAAAACTCACAAACATTGAACCATCGGATGAAGGACTGCTCATCTGCGATGCTGATGGCAGACTGATATCACTATATGGCTCGCTGTCAAACATTTGATCAATGTCGGCGTAACTGCAAAACCATTCAGGATCCCAGGCAATAATGATAAGCATATTTTCAATAGTTGAATAAGTAAAACCATTGAAGTACAACAGTTGAAGAATAAGCAAACCTTCCTTCTGGCGGAAACTCTGCCAACAGACAGAGATTAGGCCTTTCTTCCAACACCCGCCTTATGGGAATTGTACTGCACAATATTGACAAAAGAATTTCACTGGTAAAGTCTCTATGTGATACATCGGAAACCAAAGATCAAATCCCACCTTCAGTAAGGGTGTTGGTTTAAGGGATGTGGGAGCTCTATTCCACTGTGTAACCCAACTACCCACCTGACAGAAAAATGAAAAATAACTATATTCCTTACCTTGTGCTGTAGCATCTATGATACCAGTCATTCTCAGATGCCAAGCCTTCTCTATTAGATATATCCTGTTTGAGGAAATAGGAAAAGTGAGCATCATTCTGAGACCTAGAACTTCATATGCAAGCTTACACAATAAGAATATGATGAATTTCTATCAACCTACAAGATGTTTAAGCAACTTGAAATCCCCAGCAAGAACTGCTGTCATCAACCGAGCAGCCTCCACCTTCAAATCACAATTTAGGTTTCAGAGAGAGAGAGAGAGAGAGAGAACACAAAAGTAGAGGGACAGCTTGAAGTCATCACCATTTTGAGATGCATGCAATCCCGCAAAATTAAGACTTCCAGCAGATTCCCACCTGTGTTGCTTCCGAGGTTCCTTGAAATAAATAAATAAATAAAATAAGTCTATGATACAGAGATTTTAAAAGAAGTCTCGTCCATTAAAGATAACTGACCTTAAAAATGCTCCAGTGATTGAGTAGGATGTTGAAAAATCAACATACTTTAATTTCCTCAATCCCTGAACAAGTATCCAGATATTAAACTTCGCAGTCATGACTGAAGGCAAGATGATTCACCAAATTGGGACCAATTTTTGTATTCACATCACTAACCAAAGACATCATCCAGGGGATACCAATTACAGGAACAAAAATGAAAAATACATCAAACAATAGATAAGGAATCCCAAAAACAGCATTGTCAAAGGTATTAATGTCTCCCAGACCTTTACTATTATGCTCAGGTATAAAGGAATGAAGACAATACGAAAATTGAAATATTAGAAAATAATAAATAAGACTTTTTTGACCAAACCTGATAACAAAACATAAAAATCCAACTTGATAACTGATAAGACAAGTCATAACTGTAAAGTAAAATTTCGACTCTCCCTCTCTCTCCATAATGTTTCACCTCCCCCCCTCTCTCCATAATTTTATGAATGATTCTACTATAACCAAAAAAAAAAAAAATTATATATATATATATATATATATCGGATTTGGGTGTGTTGTTTCTCGAAATGCCCAAGACATACCTTCAGAAGTATACGAACTTTATAATCATGCAACTTAAACCCTCTGAGGGCCAGTGACGTAAGATGAGGGCAATCAGTCATAAGATCAACACAAGTTGGTGATTTCAAACTGTCATCTCTACCTGATATTCGTCAAATACATGTGTAAGAATAAATTCTGACAACATAAGGCAGGCTTCCTCATGAAGAAGTGCAATACCTGTTTTTGAAGATTCAAAGAACAGACGCTCTATCAAGTGACAGTTTGCACTCACAGATTGCAATGTTTGCCTCAATTCAACGTGACTGTAGATTGCACGAAATGATAAATCGTATAATCCAACATACAAGATTGCACAAAAACAAAAATTGAACTTACAGGCCAACAATTTCCAGATCAAGGAGAAATGGACAGGCCACTAATGCCCCACAAAGTGACGTATTATCCATCCTTTCAATATTGTAAAGGTGCAACCTTCTCAAAAGAGTCCTTACAAGAAGCAAAAGAAGGCATAAGAAAACAAGTAAATTTCACAAACAAAATTTTCAAGTCTTACAATTCAAGCATACCCTGGAGCACCACTATTCCCGCCTAAAGGGCTTAAACAGGATCTGGTAAGAACGGATGACTCCTTCCCTTGCCTGGATCTCTTATCATTCCATGAAAAGTTGGAAACATCTACAGAATTCCTGATGGTATAAACTAAAGGCTGACAAGATCCAAGCGGCGTAGTTGGGCCTGGAACTACACCAAGCTTAAGAGACCTGAATAACCAATTAAGAGAGACAAAAAGAAAGGCAAATGTTATGAAAATGAGAATATCATATGCCAATGCAATATCAAAATGAGAAACCATAAATTACAAGATTACAACTGCCAACTACAGAAATGCACCAGAGTTTTCACTTGACACAAATATTCGAGATTGTTAAGATTAAAGGACTAGTTGGGTGAAAAAACTCTTACTGAAGAGCTTTCCCAGCTCGTTGAATCATTGTGGAAACAACTGCATTGTTAACTTTTGGGACAACTGTTGTCAAGTCAATATTGGCATAGCAAGAAGGATCCATGGCACATTTATTGAACATTGAACAAGTAGCTGCAGCATAGCATAGGCTTTGTGTATCAAGCATGGAAAAGACCTGCATATCAGCACATATACTCAGATAATGCACACACTTCCTATCTAAATGTTTAAGGATAAAGTAGTTCTGGCATGCACAAAAATGACGCACTAAATATTGATATTCTCGCAGAACAATGACAATATACCAGCCTTAAGCATTATGCCAATGCAGATGATAAATTTCAACATTGAAAGTGACCATATTCTGTAAGAACACAAATCATAAACATTAAGCAACATGCAGATTAGTGATCAGAAAATTAAACACAAAGCAATAATACCAAGCAACTAAAATGCAACGCCGAAATCTTCAGATACACAAGCCCCAAATCGAAAACAAACACGAAAGGAAAACAATAACTCTTCCAAATCGAGCCGCGAAATCAAAAAAATTTGCACAATCAGACCCCACTCAATTGGTATTCAGTTTCGTATGAGTCTGATCTTGTTCGTCACAACAAAACCGAGACGTACCTTGATGGTGAGGTCGGGAGGGAGGGCCCAGGTGAGAGAGTTGTGCTTGGAGGCTCGTTTTCTTGCAGAGCGCTTAGCAGCCTCGAGAAGCACAGAGCCCAATTGGAGAGCGCGATCGATGAGCTTGGTCTGATCGGCATCGCAGGACCTGGACTCGAGAAGCCTCTCAAAAGAGAGGTCGATGGCGAAAGGGGGCGAGTCAGAGAACTCGAGAAATGTGTCCAGAAGCTGATCCCTGTCCAATTGGTTCAGGTTTGGGATTCTAGGGTTTTGGGAGGGGCAGGGTCGCTTGGCCATTGATGACGGGCTGTGTAGCAGGGTATCCATAGCGGGTGGTTTATCAAAGCCGAGTGCTTTTGGAGGTTGAGAGATACGGAGTTGGCGTTCGCTGCCACGTGTGCGTGGTGTGTGTGTTGGGAGGATTAGCGCCGTGGTGACGATATCATAACCCCTGCAACTGACATGGGGTGTGTAACTGCATCCTATGCCAAATTGCTGATGGATTCTTTTTTTCTTTTTCTTTTTTATAATTAGTTTTTATTTGGTACAATTATTAAGTTTTAATTATACAAATGAACTTTTAATTGATCTGAAAACTTTAAATTTTAAAATTATATTAACTCAGATTTTCTATTATTAGTTTAAATATTATTAATTTTATATAATAATGTAGCAAGATATGGGATTTCATACTACCTAGTCTCATAAAAAAAAAAATTAATTATTAGAAATGATACTATGTTTTGGTTTTGTTATTACTATAAATTCTGCTCACCATCTCTATAGTTGGAGAAGAACTTGCATATAACGAGGATTCCACCGTGGCGGTATCCAAAGCCCCTCACTCATTGTCAAGTTTGGAAAGTTAAAACACATGACAATGGGTGATTGACTTGAAATAGCCCCAAGATGGCATCCTTGGTATATGTAAGTTTTTCTCCCACAGTTGACTTATCCTTCACTTGATGTTTTATCTTTCGTTCTTTTATACAATATATATATATTTTTCGCTTTTTTTAGCAACTTATTTTGATGACTTAAAAGCTCAAAAAACAGTATTAAGCCAGCCGAAATTTGCCTATTAAGGGTGGGCGTGGTCTGGTCTAGTCTAATTTTCATCTCAAATCGAAATTGGAACTAAAACTATTGAATCAGTCCGATTTTAGTAAAAAAAAAAAATTATAAAACCAATCAGTTTGGTTTGAACCGATTTTGGTCCAATTTTCGATTTTTCTAGTTTTGGACCGGATTATTATTATTATTTTCAAATCATTTGTTTTAAATACAAATTCCAACTAAAATTTTAATGTTTGAGCTTGAAAATTTACAAATGATCCAATTTCATGCTAAGAGAGATGTTTGGCCTAGAAAAAAGAGATGTTTTGAAGTTGAGCTTGAGGAAATATTAGTTACGATATTAAAAATATAGCATTAGATTTAAATAATTTTGTAAAAAAATAAAAATATACAAAACCAGTTCGGTCTGGTCCGGTCTAATTTGATAAGGTGTGAAATTGGAATTAAAACCAATTTAAATTGGTTCAATCCAATTTGATGCTGGTTTGTTGACTTTTTTTCATTCTATCCACTTGGATGTTTCGGTTTTCCGATCTCGATGCGCATAAACAGAGGCATTTTGCATTAAACGAGAAATAGCGAGCCAAGTGCAATACTCACTTTCTTGCATTTGGGCATCTAGAGGCCATTCTCATTCTTGAAGAAAACATCAAACACGCAACATTTAAGTTGCCGTTCTTCTCCAACAAAGTCAAGTATCATTATTAAATTAGGAGACTCAATCAAACCAACTACTCAATTTTAATTTCTTTAGTAAAGAGATGGGAAGAGGGTTGTTTCAGACAATTGCACCACTAATCAAACTTGCAAAAGATTTCTTGAACATGCATTGTTCCTGCAATTGAATTATGTTTCGATATAAGAAAACTAGAGAGACAAACAGCACATACAATCAAAACCAGAACTTTCAAGTATTTGTAAAGGCTCAGAACGATGAAAAACAAGCTTCTGGCTACTTTCAGTTCTCTATTCATTCTTCCAAGCATGCAAAACCAGTGAAAAGCCAAGACCCTGCAACTGGTTATCTCTTAATGGCTGAGAGGAAGACCAAGCCAACACAGAAGGATCCAAAACTGGTGGACTGGTCCAGAACTTGTTGTCATCACTGAGGCAAGTTTGGAACATGAAAACTGCATTGCCCATGGCATTGCCAAAGAGCCAATTGTGAACATCCCAAAACACTTCAATTCTCAGCCCATCAACCAAAATGGTGTGGTTGCCTCTGAACTTCCAATTCAACCTCTTCACCTGCATCACCATCTTACTGTCAATGCAGATCACAAGGTATGGCTCATGGAGCCCAACAGTCTCACATTCAATTGTCACATCATGGCTCTTCCCCTTATCACAAAACTGAGTCTTTGCGCCATAAAATTTCTTCCCAAAAATGTGCTCTCTTTTGGCAATGAAAGTGGCTCTGGAAATGGAACCAACAGGATCTTTGTTGAAAGCTTCTCTCTTCAAGTCCCCAAGAAAAAGAACCATTTCTTGGTTAAACATAACAGCTAAATAGAACTTCTCTAATGGCTCAGGTCCTGAACCAAACTTAGCATTGGTTAAGTCCCAATATATATCAATTTTATTGGTGTCCACCTCTAAATTCCTGCACCCTTTTCTCTTGGAGAACAACCATGGCTTGATATCAACCTTGCAGATGCACTGATTGGCTGCATCGTCAATTTCAATGCTTAGGCCTTGACCCATCAAATTTTTGGTCCATGTCACAGTAATAAAACACAAACGACCCTGTAATTTACACTGGTAGACACAAGAAACCAAGTTCTGAGCAATTTTTGTGATTCTTGATGATGATGAAGAAGAAGAATCAGCAACTTGAACACCATTTTCACCAAAACAAGAAGGAAAGTCCCTCATCATAACACCAACAAAGATGACTAATTTCTTTCTGGTTCTTCCTAGTTTGGCTAAGAATTTGAGGTGACAAGAGGGAATGCAGGCAGCATAAAAATTGGTACACAGAGAAAGGGGCTCCTACCTGAAAACTGAATGAACTTACGCGCCCATCATTCAGATGCTCCAAGAGCAGCTTCAAAATGCTTCAGTTTTATCTGGGTGTCTGCTTTTTGAGAGAAAGGAAGGACCTTTGAGATTTTCAATTCACTGCCAATGTTTGAGACCACTTCAACTCAAGAAAGAAAGACCCAAAATTTAGATAAAGAATTTTAAAAAGTGATTTTGATAGAGAAAAGATGGGCAGTGGAGAGGGAGAGACCTCAAAGGAACTGATTGGAAAGAAAAAGAAACGGGGTCTAAATATGAAAAGAAACGTCAAAATTGCAAACAGGGTATTTTGCTGTAAAGGGCAGGTTTACATATTACGTTACACAAATGCCCAAAGGAAAAAAAAAAGTATCTCTCATGGGCAATTGGGCAATCTTTCTTCTTGTCCATAATTAAAAGAATCATACTGGGGCCCTCCCCCTTTAACTGACATTACACATGCATTGCATTTTAGAGTTTAAAAAAAACACAGAGAGTGCAACCTCAAAACACAGAAAAACTTTCTTGGGGAAAGCAATCTGTCGAATAATGCAATGACACGTAGAAAAATTATCTCGTGTGTCATTGCGCTATTGATTGAAAATAGTAAAAATAGTTCTATTCCTGTTGCATGAAAGTCTCTCTCCTAAAAACACTAACTTTTGAAAAAAAATTCTTCGCTATTGAGTTATATATATATTTATATTTATATATTTTAAAAAACTTTTACATAATTTGGTTGTCACCTTTGTCAAGTGAGACAAAGAAAGTTTCTTTAGCAGCAATACAATGCAACAAATTCAAAGTTGTTTTCCCCTAAAGTGAAAAGAAACAGACAACATTATGCGAAATTTACATGCTTATAACAAATGGGCATCTACTTGATGTGATGCATTAGCTCTCACTCACAGTGAAAAGCACAATCATATGGGTTTTTATTTCACATCACAACCTATTCTTTATTTCTTACTCTGTAAAATGCATCTTCCTTGTTTTGGGTATATTTACTTTTTTCTGTTTTCATCTGTATCAACAAAGCTTCACGCCTTCAACCATGTTAGTAGCCCATATCAATGTGTTCTAGAAATGCATTAGAAGAATGCTACGGTGCAGGCATGAACTGATTCTAGCCGTTGATGTTTTGTGAATTTCACATACATTGATGGTCAAGATCTCTCTGTGCGTGGGCGGTAGACTCTAGCAATACTCCAATACCTAATTGCTTACTTAATAGGACTAGGATATGACAATGGAGGAGGGTCTAGCAGACTAGGACAGTGAGACTCTAGCTAGGCGCATGGACGTGGAGTTGTAGACGCGGTTACCTTTGACCAAAACCAGAACTTAGTTGTCAGAGGAGACCAAGCCTTCCCTAATGTTGTGTGGTGACAAACTCTCCCCATCTTCATTTAGACCAAGAATTCATTTCGCTTTTTGATTACATATCTAAGGCCTAAGATTACACAATCCACTATGGTCGTCTCTCTTTCTTTTTGGTGCACATTTTGGTTGGTAGGAGCAGAGTCCATTATATTATAATCACAATTATGCATGTTGGGGAAGTGATGTCTTTGTATAACAAAGTAGTTTTTTTTTTTCTTTTTTCAAAGTTAGGAAGGGGTAGGGAGTTTTCTCGCACACATTGCCAAGGTGAGATCGAACCCGAGACCAAGTCTGCAAGTCAAAATCCCTTTACAATTGGCTTTATAGTGTTGTTATTTTAAGCAAAAATATTATGTCAATGTTCTTGCTGAATACATGATGTTTAGGTAAGATAAAGATATTTGTGAGATTTAGGGTCTCACCAGGACCCAATTGACTGTCATTTTCTGTCATCAATTGTTAATTATGAAAATCTTTCTTGACAACTTGAAGATGGGTTTTTGCCCCCACCTTGAACAAACTGATTGAACTAACCTACTCTAGATTATGGTCCATAATTTATGGATGGTCCTACACTGAAGTTGGCCAAAAAGAAATGATAGACAAGTTTCTGAGATTGACAAATTCAAAGCTTAACAGAAAATTAATATGCTGTCTGCACTCAATTTTCATCTTACTTAAGAGAGCAGCAATTTTTATTTATGAGAAAGCTATCATTCTGATTGACAATTTACACTCTCTCTCTTCTCATCTGACTTCTTCTATAGATCATGCGTGTCGAAAAGGGATTCGAGAAGGTTTGATTGCATGTCCTCCTCAAGAGTCAAGATAAAGGTCGTCTATCGAAAAGAAATGTAGGGCATTCAAGTTTGTATCTTTCTTACTCTAATGACCACTTCATGGAGCATGCAAGCCATTTATAATATCATGCATAGCTGGAGAAACATACCATTATAAGTCAGTGTCACCCACCAGAATACAATTGACCCAGACAAAATTGCATGCAGCAAACTCTTGGGTACATTTGAATCAGCCAGAGTTTACATTGTCCAGAAATTAGGACCACCAAAGCTCAAAGAAATCCCACTCCAAATCTTCTGGATTCTAAAAGGTTCTGGTCAAATGCTCAGTTCTGTAACTTACAAGTTGCGCTCGCATCCTTCTTGTCACCAGATTGCTGAATCCTTCAGGCTCTTTCACTTCTGTACATACTGCTTCTCACTGTATAGCAAGTGTGTGTTTGCTGTGCATGGCATGCTACTTGGCTCTGCTTGAAAAACGATGGAAGCGCAAAAACACCGCCTAATACAAGCATTCAGAGACATCCAAAAAGAAGAATGCCAAAGCAAATACAGACACCGGAATATACCCACTGAATCTGAAAAAGAGAGTACATTGTTCAGATTCAAATAGACCACCTATGAAAAAGACTCCACCGTCGTCAAATACAGGGGGTGATGTTTTCCAAATTTTCTCATATCAATATGGTTACATCAAGGTTTACTGCAATTGAAGAAGGGTGACTACCCTCAACATGAAATAAGACTGAAAGCACACCCAACTACCTTTCACCATCAAATCATCATCTCCATCTCTCTTTCTTTGTTTCTGTCAGAGTTAAGACAAACAGAAAATCATACAGTTGAGAATTGATTATAGAAAAACTATATAATTGATACAATAGGTTTAAAGAAATCTAATTTCATATCAGTCCAATACTGATTTGAACGACATTGTTTCCTCCTTTGAGTCCCAGCAGAGAGTTGGAGACGACTTCAAAGCCTGCACCACAACCAAAGCCGGTGACATGAGTTGAAACAACATAAAAGAAGCAAAACAAAACAGAAAAATGAAAACTGGAGAAAGCAGAGATGAAGAGGAGAAGCAACTGAAATACATATGAACTTCACCTAAATAGACTCATGATTTTGCGTATTTTTATACAAAGGAACTCTTACTTATGCTTCCTCCTCCAGGAACAAACGAAGTGAAGCTTCTTTTTTACACTCTCTGTACCTGCAAATAGAAAAAGAAAACAATTAAGAATTAAGTTAAAAACACGTTATCGCATTTGTTGACAGTAAGACCAAAATAATCACCCCAACAAAACAAGGGTTAGAGGATGGAAAAATGGCTTCTTGAACGGGTTGGAGGAACTGTAATGCGCACACAAAACATATTACTCTACACAATATTCATATCATTGCCATGTACCAATATTGAAAAACAGAGGAGTTCCAACTCAGACAAATAGTTATTAAAGATAATTAAAATTCGACAGAAATTCAACATGCATACAAACCCATATTTTTGTAGGGGAATTCTAGCGGGACTTTAATTTGTATGATGTCCAAAATGATAAGATAGATTGAAATTACCGTTAACCCTTCATATTTTAAAAAAGAAAATTATACACTTTTGAATTTTGAATAGTATCGCCGCCCGGCTATACTGTTAAATATTCGAATATATTAATTTAACGCGTATCGCCGCACGGCTATACTGTTGAAATATTCTAATATATTTATTTAAAGCGTATTGCCGTGCGGCTATACTCTTGAAATATTTTAATATATTAAACGAGTTTAGCCGTGCGGCTATACGGCCGTAAATATTCGAATTTATTAAACGCGTATAGCCGGGCGGCGTTACTGTCAAAATATTTTAATATATTTATTTAAAGAGTCTAGCCGAGCGGCGATACTTCGTATTTATTAAAAGCGTATAGCCGAACGGCTATACGTTTAAATATTTTAATATATTTAACGGGTATAGCCGGGCGGCTAAACCGTTTAAACATTTTAATATATTGAGCCTCGTTTTAAATATTCGAATTTATTCCGCACGTACAGCCGCCCGGCTATACTCTTTGAATATTTTAATATATTTAGCGAGTAATTTATTAAACACGTATAGCCGCGCGGCTAAAATGTTTAAACATTTTAATATATTGTTAAATATTCGAATTTATTATAAATAGTATAGCCGCCGGCTGTACGGTTTAAATATTCGGATTTATTAGAAGCGTACAGCCGCTCGGCTATACTGTTATAATATTTTTATATATTTACGGAGTATAGCCGCTCGGCGATACTCTTGAAACGGCTATACTCGATTAGAGACTTCTGAAACATTTTTTTGAAAAACATGTGCAATGGAATTCTTTATAAGAGTTGACGCATAACCTATCGATCATAAAATCTTGATAAAATAATTTAAAAACTCATAAGCTGCAGGTTAAACAATTCTTCCAATTTCAAGTTACCCATAAGAATAAGAAATACAAAAAATTGAAAAACATGGAGGGTCTTTTCAAGTAAATTATAATCAGAAATCTAAAGATACCTGCCAAGGATAAAGTTTTGAAATTCCTTTCTTTCTATATAGGCTGCATATTTCTGGTTGTTGCCAACTGTTCAGATCCAGATGATCTTTGAGTGGCACAAAACTTGAAGGAGTACATGCTTCATCAGATTCATGGTTACCAGTCAACTTCACGACTTCATCAACTGGTGAATAAGATGTCATATCCTTGCCTGTCAAATCCACTTTCATGTTGGTGGTGACTGCATTAACAGAATCTGTATATTGATCTCTAAATGTCACTTGATTTTCCTGAGATTTGTTGCAACAGATCATGGTATTTCTCAGACCTCCATGGTCTATAAGACAGGATTCAGATTGCTCGCCACCTACAAGAGCCACACTCTTCAAGATGGGCTAGCTTGTCTCTTATGCTCATTCTCCTTCATCTCTGTCTCGAAGATCACTGAACAAAAAAGGATAAGGAGTTTAGGAAGAAAAAGAAGAAAGATGGAGAATGCAGAATTTGAAATATAAGAGGTTAGGGATAAACCAGCCAATAACTTATCACCAGGGAAACGAGCAGGAAAACAATAGATAAAGATAACAGAGCTCAGAAATAACAATGTATATACAATGGTGCACAAATATTTACAGCAAGGTACAATACCTGGAATACAAAGACAAAAAATCTGATGCAGAGTCTTTGAGCACTGCACATTCTCCGCCTTCTGTGAAAGCTGGGCCACGATAACCCCAAAACCATTCATGAACTGATTTACATTCAAAACCATAAACAACAAGAAAGGCTATTTACATTCAACTTCTTGACAATTTAATTAGGGCTCTTTAATTAATTAAACATTAAAAACACAGACAAGACCCAGAGATTTTGCATGAATTGATAACTGGGAATGCAATGATTAACTGGTTGGCTCCCACAATTTGATATCTAATGCATTTAAAAGAGAATACATTTAAGAACTCAAATAGAAATTGACAAACCAAAGTATCCAGTTTCAATACAGCTCAAAATAAACCAGTAACACATATGATACATGGTTAATGGAAGGAAATAAAAAAGAGCAACAACAACTTAGACAAAAGCAAACATGAAACTAAGTATCAGCACTCTCTGAGGCCTTGCCAGAAAAAGGGTCGTGAGTAGGACCAACATCCTGCCCAATATGGCGCTGAACCAACCGCTGCAAATCCGCCATAACCTTGTGCTCGCGCTTTGATTTCTCTTCATAGTTGAACATGGCCAAAGCCCGCTTGTCCTCAGCACTATAAACTTGGTTTTCTTTCCTAATACGAATGGCATTCATCCTCTGGTGCCTACTACCACTCATCACATACCCAAGACTCTCAAACTTCTGAATCTCATCTGCTGAAAGACCCACTTCTCCTCTTCGTGGAATACGCTTCCCTTGCTGAACATATTGTGCAATGGCATCACCTTCTCCGGGCCTAAGCGCCCCACCATAACTAATATGCCCTTCAGCTCTAGGCAATGGCATTGGCCCAACCACCGGCTCATTATCCAGTGCAGGCTTCTTTTGGGCCTCAAAAATCTCTTTCAGCTTCAATGCCTCCACATTACTCTCATCCTTTATCACCTCCTCTTCCACCATAGTAACAGGCTTGGCATCAACCTCAGAATCCAAACCCTTCTCCGAATCAGAACTCTCCCCATCTATTCCGGATTCTTTCTTTGTCTTACTCCGACTGCGCAACTTTCCCTTCTTCTTCGACCTCAAGCGATCCTCTGATTCAGAATCTGAACCCTCACTTTCACTTTTTTCACTCTCATCAGAATCGCTACTGCTACGCCTACTTTTTCTTCTTCTTCTCCTTTCTCTTCTGCTCTTGCTCCTCTTACTCCTCTTTCTTGACTTCTTTCTCTGTCTGCGATCATCTTCTTCCTCGGATTCGGATTCGTCATCGCTCTCGCTCTCGCTCTCGCTCTCGCTCTCGCTCTCCGATTCGCTATCACTATACTTCGAATTTCTGCCCCTACGCTTAGAACTCGAACCCTTCTTCCTCTTCCTCGACCTCAAGTCCTCCGATTCGGACTCAGATTCAGACTTTGCCTTCTCTTTCTTTTTCTCGCCCGATTCACTCTTTTCCTCCTCGCCATACCGCTCAGAAATCTCATCAGCCTTGTCCTCCAATTCAAATTCATCGTTCTCAACCCTAGGAGGACTGGGCGTCACATTCCAAATACAATACTTCAACGTCTTCCTCAACTTCTGCCTCTTGAGCCTTCTGTACTCCTCGAAGCTCAACCCCTTCAGCTCCTCGTCGGACTCCTCCGACTCCGATCGCCTTCCATTCCGATCCATCCGGTTGCCTCCCCGCCCGAATTTGTTGGGCAACGAGTCTGGGCCTCCATTAGCCGTAGGGCTTCTTCTAGGGTTTGGGTAATCGGGCGAGCCGGATAGGTTTCTGTCGCGGTGATTGTTGTACCGTTCGTAGCTGGGGCTGCGACGCTGGGCCAAAGAGCCTGGGTCTCGATTGGTCCTAGGGCTTCGTCTAGGGTTTGGGCGATCGGGCGAGACGGAGCGGTTTCTGTGGGGGTTGCGGTTATTGTTGTAACGGTCGTAACTTTCATAGCTGGGGCTGCGACGCTGGTAGCGGTTGTCGCCGGAGGATTCGGAGTGAGGCGGGTAACGGCCGTTCTCGTGCTCGGAACGGTGTCGTTTATCGGGGATATGGATGGTGGACGATGGCCTTCCCATCAGAGAAGATTTGAACGAAGTCGCGAATGAAGTTATTTTGGAAAGCAACTAACCTGGAAAAGCTTTTACCAGAACCACTTAATGTCTGACCTGAAAATCAATGCCTCAGAGCCCTAATCCTCACATCGACTTCGAATTCGAACCCAGACCCATTGCGGACGAATTGGTTATTGTCGACGTCTGCTATCTTGTCGTCTGCTATATTGGTAAAAAGAAGGTCGGTTTAACGAAGTCGCTGATGGGTCATTTTATTGCTGATAAGTTGGGCCCAGACCATTCCATTAAAATCGGCCCAACATATTAGAATATGGGCCCTATCCACTATATATATATATATATTATTATGTTTCGTCCGGCTTCCAAACCCTAAAACCTCAAAGTTCCTCCTTCGCAAACGCACAAAGCTCTTACAGACAGTTCCAAGCGAAAGAAGAGCGGAGGCGCAAAGAGAGGAACCATGGCGGATAGCAAGGCAGTGACGATCCGTACGAGGAAGTTCATGACCAACCGTCTTCTCTCGAGGAAGCAATTTGTGAGTCTTCTGGCCACTATCCCTGTTTGGTTCACTAGAAAATGTGGGAAAACTAGTTAGAAAATTAACCAGAAACTTACTTGTTTGGTAGCTGATTTTTGCTGTGCGATTTTTGGTTTTGATGTAGGTCATCGATGTTCTGCATCCTGGTAGACCCAATGTCTCCAAGGTTTGGGTTCTTTCTTTGAGCTCTCGCTTTCTTTCATTGGGCATTTGGTTCTACTTGATATTTTTGCACTAGCAAATAGGAAATGTATACGACCTTTATTTCTTTTCTAATCTGATAACAAGTTCGAAATCATGGGGTTGTCTGATTTTAATGTCTGTTTTACTGATGACAAATATAGTTATATTGAGCTTAAGGTTTTGTTTATAAGTTTTAATAAAGGGCTGAAGCTTTGAGTTCTGACCCTGAATCAACGAATTGTAGTGTTACGTATCTATTATATTCTTCTGCACTTTGTTGTTACCAACATCTTCATCGACTAATCTCACCTTTTTTTCAAAATAATGATAGATCTATTTTTCTCTGAATTTAATTTCTTTTGTTGGTAGATTGCTCTTTTTAATTTTTGATTGAAATTAATTTCTGTTCCTCTCATAATGAAGGCAGAGTTGAAGGAAAAACTTGCAAGGTTGTACGAGGTGAAAGATACAAATGCCATCTTTGTTTTCAAGTTCCGCACCCACTTTGGAGGGGGAAAATCCACTGGGTTTGGTTTGATTTATGATTCCGTAGAGAATGCAAAGAAGTATGAGCCAAAGTACAGGCTGATCAGGGTAAATTTATCTTCTTTTCTTCCATCCCAGTTCTATGTTACTTGCAAATTTTGGCGTATACCTATTTAAGCTCTATAGTCATTCAAAATGTGCATTAGTTGTACCCATTTCCGTCTCGGGTATGAGTTTGATACAAAAGCCCTGTGGAGCTATTCATTAACTGTAGACTAAGGGTATGTTTTGGGACTTGTATCAATATATTTAAGTCTGCTGATTAGTTAATTTTGATTCCCTATCACGTCTTTTTGAATGGGTTCATATATTTTCACATGATTTTTTTTACTACAATGTGTCATTTCACTTTCCTGGTATATTTCTTAGTGTTCCTTTGTTGGGGGGTACTAATCTTAACAACTGCTTGAAAGTTACAAACGCAGGCTTTTTCAGTTCCTTGATGAGTTAACTAATAGTTGATTTATGTGTCAAAGGATGATTAATATGTGGTTTCTTTCAATTAAAGAATCAGTAGTTAGTTTGGTATGAAATACATGTGGCTTTTTTCTTTTCTCTTGGATCCTGTAAATACAGGAAGCTCTCCCCCTCTCTTTCTCCCTCTCTATTTATCTATCTTTCTCTCTCTCAAACTTGGCTCCTTGTGCAGAATGGACTGGATACAAAGGTGGAAAAGTCAAGGAAGCAACTCAAGGAAAGGAAGAACAGATCCAAGAAGATTCGTGGAGTCAAGAAGGTAAGAAATATTGCTGTTGGTTTGTGTTAGGGGGTATTTTTTTCTGCAAGCTCGTGGATTTATATTATGGAACTGTAACGTTTTCTTGGTTAACATCTGCAAATGTTTTTTGTAGACCAAGGCTGGTGATGCTGCCAAGAGTGGGAAGAAGAAATGAGTGCTTGAGCATGTTTTTGGATCGCATGTGTTCGCTGGCGGTTCCTATCCGCATTTTGTTATTTTATTTTGTTAGTAGGCGTAAAATTTTCTGTGTTTTTAATTTTTATGAAGAAAAAAAAACGCTTATGATGTTTTAACTATTCGATAAGGAAGTTTTAAAATGTAGCATGTTGTTTTTGACTTATGAATGTTAAAGATATTGAATTTTGAGTACTAAATTTACTGATTATGAGTCGTACGATTGGATCTTGAATACCAGGATTTCATGTGGAACTCATCGTTTTTTGTATTATGTAATCATCAATGCCTTTAAATTTGGTTCTCAATTCTGAGTTAAACTAGTATGGTAAGAAAATATTGCATTCAAATGAACCGATTGGCTGGCGTTCGAAGAATTACGTTTTTCATAATTTGATCATTTCTAATTATCTGGTCGGAGATACTTCTGGTGATTGAACCACCGGTCACCTTGCCGATCCATCACATCTAACCAGACAAACCTTTGCCAATCCATCATTTTGTAAGCTACCATAAACCTTTCATATTTTAGTACGACATATGGTATTATTAATTTACGTGTTATAGTATAAGTGAACGACATTGTTGATATTAAGATAGAAGATTTAGTATTCATGAACAAATACATGTTATAGTAAATTTGGCTTACACCTTTCAAATTTAATTTACCATACCTAAAACCCTTCACTTTTTGTTCCTATAAATAATACCCAATTTGTATAAGTAAAAACCCATGACTAAGATCCAACTCAGCAAGTTACCTAATTAAGCATAAAATCTGATTTATTGTACTTTTCATATTCCAAAAATACCCCCAACTAAGCCATTATTGCATTTTGTATATTAATGTAGGAATCAATATGGAAACAGTTTTTAATTGGATTGTATATAATGACAGATGTTGAATTTGGAAAGATCTCCAAATGGTTGTAATGGATGTAGGAATTAATTTTGAAACATTTAAAAAAAAATTTAACAATAAATTCAAATTTAGGTAATCAGTTTGTTTAATAAAATGTTTATGTTATTTTCTTTTTATGAATTATACATGACTAATAATCCACTTTATAATTGTTTATGAATAAAACTGTACATACTAATTATGTTGAAAAAATAATGTAACTATTACTTGTTTGTTTTATGAAAAACATAATTTACCTAGTATGAAAAGTGTACATAATTATCTATTCCAAATAATGTACCTATAAACATTTACAGGTATATTGTAAAATAATTTACTTGTGGGTAAATAATGTACCTATATTTTATATAAATTATTGTGTACCTATTTTTAATTATGAAAAATATACAGAATTACAAAGTAACTAACTTTTTTTTTTTTTTTGGTAAAGAATATACCTATATTTTATATGTATATATTTATATTATATTTTACATAGGTACATTATTGGATATGTAATTTACAGGTTTTTTTATTTTTTATTTTTGTAATTTTAAGGGGCGAGATGTGAGTGGGAATGACAACTAAAAGAAATGGGGTGATTGATATGCTATTAATAGGGAGTATATTAATTACAATTATGGCAGTTAATGAAATGCTTGAAATAAATTATAAATAAAATATGAAGTTTAGTGGCAATGATGTAAAAACATAGAAATACTACGACCTCTTATATCATACTAGTCATTTAAATTTGATATTGGGTTTTACACATAGATTTATAGAGTGATGGGTATATGTCTAGGAAATAGAAAATGTAGGGATCTATATTGGACAGATTACTTACCATATAACACGCCATCATCTTTTTCTTCTTTTTTTTTCTTTCAAAACATTTTATATTTAGAAGAAAGATAACATACTAAACTCACACACACACTAGACTGATGCGAGGACTCGAACCCATAACCTATATCATTTACTCCAAACAACTATACTAGTGGTCATTTGCAATACATAATCATCTTTAATTCAAGCAAATCACAACAAATTTCTTACCATAACATAACATGCCATGTTTTTACAATTGGTGGGTGAGAGAATGGTCTGTTTTCTAAATTTGTCATTTATCGACACATGTCTACATACTTAACCTTGACATAACATTGTTAAGTTCTAATAAAATATAAAAACATGCAACATAGCCTATGTCTTGTTAATGAGCTATACAATTTCAAGGGCATATGATCCAACGCCCTTTGGGGACAGACTGTCGACCCAAATATATAAACAGAAATTATGTCTTTCGGTCCAGTTAGCAAACAAGATTCTAAGTTTTCCAATGCCCTTTGCTGACTGTGGACTTCAGTACAAATATTTTTTAGTCCTTTAACGTACGATAAGGGTCACAATGATTAATAGTATTAATACAAATTTATAAATAAACCCAATCATAGACATGTATTTATAAAAAAATCCAAACATTATTTAAATATAGAAACACACCCAAAATCAACATCAAAGTCAACTTTTTGGGTGTGTTTATAAATGGGTTTTAAGTGTGTGTAATGATGAGTTTTGGGTGTGTTTATAAAGTGTTTTGGGTGTTGGGTTTTTTTATAATTTCAACCTCCATTTTGGGTGTTTTAGTAAAACTCCCTAGTATTAATACGGAGAATTGGAGCTACTAAGTTACCACTTTGCAATATTTTTGTTTAGAACCATTGTTAAAGTCGATGGCATATGTAATAAGGGACTTATAATTCAAATTGTTACGAACATTTATTTATAATTCAAATTGTTACGAACATTTATCCATACATTGCACCTAAGATTTTAAGTTGAACCTAAAGCTCATGAGAATGGAGATTGTTTTGTTCACTCGTCTTCAATTATCTTGCATGAAATGTGCTGATGAGCATGAACATCTACTTCAAACATTTACACGTGGTTGTCCTCTGTTGCACTATGTACAAGGACTTATTTACAATAGAAAATTGGTTTAATGCACAGTTATAGTTGTTAAATTGACAAATTAACCTTTTACCCACTTGAGCTTAAATTAATCACCATGCATGCAAAACATTTAACATTTATGGGTAATAGTAACAGACCGAAATCTATTTAATATAATCTTAATGTTAACTTTAATACAAGGGAGTAACACCTAAATTAAAGATATGCATTGAGGTACCAGGCCACACAGGGGAGTAACATCGAAATCTATTTAATATAATATATTTAACGTTTTATTGTCCCTACACTCGAAGGGTGAGATTCATTTCCACTTGGGATTCAACTTGCTTATGGCCACAAAGTACTTATAACGGGTTTCAAACCCTTATTATTGAGGTACCAGGTAACTTGCCACCTAGAGATGACAGTTTACCAACGGCACCACGCTTTATTATTTAATAAGCTAGATATCCATTCATTAGTAGAAAACTTCAACGTGAAATGGACTTATTTGGAGAAAGTTGTGGGCCATACGGGCCGAAGAAACGACCCAAGTCTTTGGAAAAAAATAGAAAATAATTAATGTTTTTTCGATTGGGATATAATTTTATGGAGGGAAACTAGGAATCGGAATGCAAATAACGAGGGACAATTGTAAAATACGCACACAGAGAAAAATAAAAAAGAAAAGAAAAGAAAAAGAAAGTGAGAAGAGTAAGGTAAAGCTCTCCCTAAAACCTTGAAAATCCCCAAGCCCTCTTGTCTCTGTCAAGAACTCCTCTCTCTCTCTCTCTCTCCTCCCTCCCTCTAAACCCCTCAATCCCCGATTTCACAAGCGCCATGTCTGAAACAGTGAAGCTTTTAGTGCACGTGTCTCGGACGACGTCGCGAGACATCTGAATTGCCCTGTGTTTGCTTGCATTGGCTGACCGTCGTCTTCTCGCCGGTGATCTGGTCAGTCCGTACATGTTTTCAAGTATTCACTGATTTAAGTTTTTATTTTATAAATAAAAAATAAAAAATAAATACTGATTTTTGGTTTCAGGGTTGGGTTCTTTTTTTGCTGGTGAGTTTGTGTAATCAAATTCAAGCGAGGCTGTGTGGGTGTGCGTGTTTGGTTTGGCTTGGTTGAAGTTATTTTGAAACAAAACTGAAACTGGGTTTTCGGGGATTTGGTGTTTGGGTGGGTTTGTAAGAGATGAAGGAGGGCTTGAGATCTGGCAAGTTGAAGGTTGATAAAGATAAGCTAGGTGCTGAAAAGAGAGGGGATGAGCTGAAGCAAGGTGGCTCTGATTCAGGCGGTGAGAACAGTCCACATTTGGTTTCGAGCTGTCCCGAGGAACCTGAGAGAGAAATTCTGGGTGATAAAGCGAAGAAAAGCGATGAGTTGGGCAGTGAGGAATGTGGGGAAGATGGTGATACAGGTGAGAGTAAAAGTGTGGGAGCAGCTGAGATTGGGAAGAAGCAAATTGATGATGATGGTCTCGAGAAAAAGAAGGTGAAGGAAAAAGAGGTGAATGGTAAAGTGCAAATTGTTCGTCGGGTTTTGCGGTCACAGTCTGCGGTGAATGGAGGGTGTGATAAGGAAGTAAGTGGTGGTGCCCTGGTTACAAAAAGTAGAGAAAGTGGTGGGTCTCACAACCAATGTACTGATGTAAAAAATGAAGGGGTTCATCAGTTGGGCAGTGAGGAATGTGGAGAAGATGGTGATACAGGTGGGATTAAAAATGTGGGAGCAGCTGAGATTGGGAAGAAGCAAATTGATGATGATGGTCTTGAGAAAATGAAGGTGAAGGAAAAAGAGGTGGATGGTAAAGTGCAAATTGTTCGGCGGGTTTTGCGGTCACAGTCTGTGGTGAATGAAGGGTGTGATAAGGCAGTAAGTGATGGTGCTCTGGTTACAAAAAATAGAGAAAGTGGTGGGTCGCACAACCAAAGTACTGAAGTAAAAAATGAAGGGGTTCTTCAGTTGGGCGAGAGTGAAAATGTGGGAGTAGGTGAGATTGGGAAGAAGAGGAGGCGGGTTGATGATGGTCAAGATATTGATGACGGTGGTATTGAGAGAAAAAAGATGAAGGAAGAAAGGATAGCTGGTCGGGCTCTGCGGTCACGGTTTGTGGAGTATCGTGGGTGTGATAAGGCAGAGAGTGTTGGAAAAAGTAGAGCGAGTTATGTGTCTCGTGAGAAATGTACTGAGGTGAAAAATGAAGAGGGTGGTCAGTTGGTTGGAGGGTTTACAAAGAAGTTGAAAGGCAAGCGTGGGAGGCCACCCAAGGTGCCCAAGGTGGAAAAGGAAGAAAGTGACAGGTCAGCTGGTGGATTAAAGAAGCAGAAGAAGTTGAAACGTAAGCGCGGGAGACCTC